TCTGGGAGTTGAAGTCCACTCATCTTAAAGTGGTCAAGTTTGGACAACACTGCCCTAAGTGGTTTATCCACAGCAAGACTGGGGTGCCAAAGCCCTGCAGACTCTTCTTCTTCCCCAGATCAGTTCCCTAAGATCCTATTGCCAAAATACACTAACAAATTGTCAATTTTGGGCTGCATATTTTTTCATCTTTTTTGAAATAAAAGCTAAATAGCTAAACTAAGCCTCCGCTAGGCTTCGCTTTACCACTCTGCTATTACATTTTCCAAACACATTCAAAATAGCCAAAAACTTTGTCCCTGCTTCCTGCAGAGATGAAGCTACCCTGTTTCCTACAGTCATGACAGCTATTGTTACCTCAGCAAGTTTTAGGCCCCACATGGTTCTCATCCTTGCCATGTAATTTATTCCATGCCAGAACTGAGGTCTATATACTGTAGGTAACATATTTATTTATTTATATTTCAAATTTAGTCACCACCCATCTCACTATCAGCATCAGTTTTTCCTCCTCCATCCAAATCTACTGATACGCATAGCATCCTCAACTTCCCCAGTGGTGTGTACTCATCCTGTTAGATCCAGCAAGAGAGGCATGCTCTGGGTCCCATCCGTGAGACAGTACCATCTAGCAGGACCAGGAGGAGGGCTTTTTCTGCCATGGAGCCCGCCCTTTGGAATATCATCCCCTGGAAATCAGATTTGCCCTAACCCTGCTGGCCTTTCACAAGGCATTAAAACCTTGGCTTTGCCATCAAACCTGGGGCCCTGATAAGTGTGGGTGAACCCGCTGTGTGGTTATACTGATTGTGCAGTCTTTGATTATTCTCAGGTGCTATTTCACACTTATTTATGTTTTTAATCATTGGTTATGTTTTTATTTTGTTTTGTTTTGTCAGGTGCCTAGAGTCATGTATATGAGATGGGCAGCCATATACATTTATTAAATAAATAAATAAACTAATACTTGCCATGCTAAGATACAGCTATTCATGTGGTCGCACTATAAGTTTTCTTTCCCATTTAAAGAAAAAAATATTTCATCTTATCATCTCATCCTTGTTACTCGAGACCTTTAGCCTGAAACATCCCAAGGATTTAACTAGCCTCAAACATGCTGCCCACATGCTCTGCCACTTTCAGCAAGCTGGTTCAGAAAGTGGTAAATACAGACTATGGCACACCAATCCTATAATCACAGAATGATCACTTATCATCTTTATTATTCACAAACTTCCTTAATGAGCTGACATCCATCTAATTCACAATGTTGGTTCAAGACATAAAAAATGAAACACACAGCATATTTTTATCACTGGGCAATAATTTCTAGGCTATGTATTGTTTAGCACTGGGAAGAAAAAGATAGAACACAGAGATTTATTTCTAACAAATATTAGTTTTTAATACATTCAGAATTCAAACTAACTACATAGCCTCTGCGGACTTGTCTATGCTTTATAAAATGCCATATAAATAGATAGTGAGAAATAATATGACAATTAATTTATTTAAAACAAGTATAATTACAATCTCCTGCTGTCCTCTTATTCTGAAAGAATGAACTTCGTGTCAACCCAACTCACCTTTTATAAAAATGGAATCGCTCTGTGATAATTAGAAATTGTTTCTCTCCACCTAGGAATAAATGTCTTGCCCTACAAATGCCAGATTTACTGGAGTATTCACAAATGTGTGCAAAACTGAGTTCCTCCTTCTTGAAGTAATTCCGAAGCCGCACATAATCAAAATAGGATGGAACATAGATGAGTGTGTGTGTCATGACTGCATCCCGGTACTCAGGTAACACTTTGTCAATGAAAAAGTTAAACCTGGTTAAGAAATACAGATGATAAGCCATTTGGTTTCAAAATTTAACTTCCCAACTTCTAATTCATATGTAACATTCAGAATTCTCAGCTAGAAGTACCAAAGCATATCCTAATTTATCTGGAAGATATTAGACGAGAAAAAGCTGATCAAATATGGTACAAATGCAGAATATTTTGATCTCCATCCATCTATGTACCTCAGGCCTCTCACTTTTCCTCAGCTGCAGTGCCACTATACAGGATTCACTATCTACTAAGCAAACCCCATTCTCATGAAGTACTGAAGGCAGAGGGATCCCTCCTTAGGATTTTTTAAATAGGTTTTTTTTTACTACTGCAGAATTCAGAACTCCCCCACACCTGCCAACACCATCACTCTTTAATATGTGAATGGCACCATTTTTTTTGTGTTAGAATGAGAATGAGATCACTCTTCCTATACAGGACAATTTATTATGTAGCACAGCAGCATTTAATGCAAGCAATCCAGACCTTTACATTATACAGTATAACAATTTCAATTTAAAACATCCATATTTTCTTGTACAGTACACTCCACCAAACGTGTAGCTGCCATCCATAGCTCAGAGTTACATACCTTGCATCTATTACGGAAACAGAGCTGTCAGCTTCTAGCTTCTGAAAAACATGAGGAAGCTGTACTACAACATGACTAATTGACCCTGTCAAGGGGACATTCCTTACAGCTACCTGCAAGACACAATTGAAACTCTATGAGATATAAGCAACATTAGATTGGACTGTTACATCCAACATACAGTACTCAGTCAAGAAAATAAGAAATGGTTTGATGGACTAGAATAATTTAATCTAGAAACTGGCATTCCACAACAATAACTAGTTAGATCTCCTAGAAGCAAGCCAGCAAGGCACGATAAGGGTGACAGCCAATTATCTGGATTTCAGAATTACTGCTGCTTGTGAACATGGAGTTTTTATTGAACTGTCATGATTTTTTTTTTTCATCCTAGAGTTTTTCCCGCAGGTGCAGGGTCCGTCTTTTTCCCCCCCGGATCAACCAAATGTTGATCCATTGGTTGCAACAGGGATTGACCAACTGACTTGCCACCCGAGCCTGACATCATGGGCTGTGAGCAAGTGACTGGCCCAAAGTCACCCAGTTGGCTTTCATACTTAAGGTAGGACTAGAACTCACTCTCCTGGTTTCTGGCCTGGAACCTTAACCACTAGACCAAACTGGCTCTCATTGAACTGTCATGTATTAATTACTAATTCTTTATAATTCTCTTTTTACAGCCTTTTGAACTAAAGCTTATAATTTCATGGTGAAGTACAGCATTCAACAAGCTAATCAAGAATTATCTGCTAGGTGGAATTGTGGGAGCTGATGTCCTGCCGATCTGAAGGCCATGAGGTAGGGACTACTGCTTTACATAATCCTCAATAGTAGACATGGTTTCAAATTTCATTAATCCTCACTTCTAGGATAAGAGGAACAAGATTTTTTGCAAACATTCTGTTTTGCTTACAGTACTAAACTATCTGAAATATTTGTAGTAATTAATATCTTACTCAGCAGCTATTTTTCCACTGTGAAGAGATGCCAAAAGAAAGATGTTATGCAACATGTAAAATTATGGAATTTGTTGTTCTCAGATATGCTGATGGCCATCAATTTAGTTAGGCTTAAAAGGGTTCTGAACAAATCAGGAAGAACTGATCTACTGTATATCATCAATCACCACAGTAGCGTGTCTTAAATATCAGATGGTAGGGAGTAACAGAGGAAGAGGGCTATCACATATTTTGTTCATATGTGTAATCTGGCTGAATGCATATGGATTGCCACTATGGGACACAGAGCACCAGTTAAATAGCAGGGCCCTTCCCAGTCTCTCAAAGAGAGTTGCTGCTACCTCTCTGGACTGTTGCCCCCTCCACCACACTTTTGTTCTCCAATTTGCCAAATTTAGGAGCAAAGGTGTAGATATGATTGACTTCACAGAATAATTATTTGATCCTAGGGACACTACTTCTGATCCTTATTTTGCACAAAGGATTGTTTTAATGCAAGAAAGATGGGGTGCTGAACCAGAATATTGATCTGGTAGAAGGTTCAGACTGTTTGGGAACATTAAACCATGTGAAAGAAAATAAATACACACAATACACACACACAAACAAGTCCCTGCAGTTTTCTTGACAAGGTTTTTCAGAAGTCAATTGCCATTGCTTCCTTCCTAGGGCTGAGAGTAAGTGACTGGCCCAGGGTCACCCAGCTGGCTTTGTGCCTAAGGCAGGACTAGAACTCACAGTCTCTTGGTTTCTAGCCTGGTGCCTTAGCCACTACACCAAACAGGCTCTCAGAAAGTTATATACCACTCTGAAAATGTATTATTACTACTTCCACTATTAATAGTATTTAATGGTTATGAGAAGAGTCCAACATATGCTCTTCCAAACATTTCAATGGCTACTGTTATATCTGTGAACTAACCTGCCCCCTGTAGTTGAAGCAATGCTTATTGAAGATAGAATTGATCTGAGGATGATGGAGGGCACTGAAGAGAAGTGTCTGCCGATAATACTTAGACCAGTTATTCAGACTGAACATTCGTACTCGTGAGAAATCCACCCCATGAGATTCCAAAGGTAATAGATTAATATGGTTAATCAAGTGCTGCAAGCAGAATAATGGTTAAAACATAGTAAGTACGTATTATTCCATTTCATTGTACAGAAAAAGGAAAACAGAGACATCTCTCCAAAAGTCCATGTATTGCATGAAAGAAGAGAAAATGTGAACAGTTGTTTGGCACATTAAACTAGATATGCACACATATTGCTTTGATGATTTAAATTTCAACTGCTACTGCAAGAAGTTTTAACTTCTTCTCAGACCTCACTTGAGAAACACTGATAACACAGCATCCAAAAGATTAAAGACATCTGTTGCTATAAAACATGCTAGTGTCTCAGTGTCTACAGAAACATGATTTATGTTTACTGCGTTTTTGGAAAGCGTAAAAAAAAAAAAAGTTAGCTGCTGCTGTTGATCCTCATCTAATCAACAAGAAACAAAATAGACCACTGGGAGAGTAATAAGCCCTTTCCATTTCATTTGCATGTTTCCTATGATTTTCAGCAGCACTGTGCAGACCTCCTTTCAATACCCTACAAAAGCACTCCCTATAATTTTTTAGCACAGAAACTTTCAGCAATGCTTTAAGAATTAAGAATACATACATTTTCAGAAAACAGTAAGGTGTGTTTCATTCAAATGAAAAACAGTTAAAGGTCTAAAATCTAGTCCCCAAGTGTGGCATTTCACATCAGGTTGTTATAGTTACACAGCACACTCTGGTTAAAAAAAAGTGAAAAGGGGGAATAAGCATTACCAAAACATGCTCCCAGTTCTGCATCAGGTAAATGTCAGCTTCATCAATTATAAGAATTTCTATTGAGGAGAGGAAATCATAGTCTCGCTTGTTCTCCCCCTCAGCTCCTATTACAGTTCTCAGGCCAAGGGGAGAGGCGATGATAATGTCCGAGGAGTAAAATGGGGCATACAACCGCATGCTCTTCTGAAGAACCGCAACACCTGCCCAGATGCAAATACACACGTATCAGCCAGTTTCATTATTTAACCATAGGATTCCTGCTCACAATACCCCACAAGAGTCAATGGAAATTTCTGCTCTTTGTGATGGGCAAAAGGAACCCAGAGCAGCTACAACAGGGACAGGCAATCTGTTGCCCTCCGAATATTCTGGACCAATTCCCATCAACCCTGGTCAGCATGGCCTAATGAATTGTGGAAGGTGTGCAAAATATTACACACTATAGCATCATACACAGCCCTCGAGAAACCATATTTATCCAATTAATTAGGAGTTTTATCGTGGAGGAGCCATCCTTAAGTCTAAATTTTAAAATGGAGGTTATAAAGAAGCCCTTTTAAGAACAACATAAAACTAGGTTTACAAAGACTACCTCCCTCAGAAAAATCCAACCAGAGAAAATAACATAAATTGGATGTATTCAAACATTATTTTAAACCATAATAAAACAGGCTGGTGCATGCCAGCCATTCCTTCCTATGTCATGCTTCCTTATTGTGAGTGGATAGATTAACTCAGTTATTTAAACCGGAGATCATGTTTTAAAACCCCCAAAACCAGATTTCTAAAATCTTGCTTCAAAATGGCCTATGAATCCTGGCTTATTTATTATTTATTTATGGATGTTTACCCAAATTTCATTTTAACTGTAACTTCTATTACTGTACCCTACAAGCAGAATACAAAGTAGAAACAATCTGTACAAACAGAGTACAAACTGTAAAACTGCAACCGTAACAGCATCAAAAGTTATAAAAACATTAAACAGTACCTATCCTGAAGTGGTCATCAATGTTCCCAGCAAAGACAGCTTCATAATCTTCAGGCCTTTTCAGATTTGGTGGCTTCTCTTCTGGGTCTGAACCAAACTCCCCCTTAAACCGTTTTTTATTACACACATCAATTTTCTTTTGACTTGCCGATTCAAGGAGGGCAATTAAAATATGGACTATACGTAAAGCAGATTCCCGGAAGGGCACCACGATCAACACCTAACCAGGAAAATGAAAATTCAATTATTCCATTGTTTAAATGTATGAAGGTTTCCTAACTTTGAGGATGGGGTGGGGCGGATTAGGGAAAATTACAGTGCCACTGTAGAAATTCTGACCTAACGCTTTTATTTTTTTAAGAAAGTGCTACACAGGGATAATTGTGAAAAAAGCTACTACTCTGAAAGTAGCTATGCGCCTTAACGTTCTTCTTATTTAGTGTGATCTGCAAGGACATTGCAACCCTGTTTAGTTGGCTGCACTTTCAGCTATCTGCAATGGGGACTCTGCTGTTTTAAGATATTGATCAAGGTATGGTTTCCATGCAATGACCATATATTAAGGTTTTTTTTTTTCACCTTTGGCCTAGTGAGACCTTGATCCCTGAAAGCATCCTCATCCGCTCCATCTTTTTGGTCCCGTCGCTTGGCATTGTTGCCAAGCACCTGTGCATTAGCCTTCAAGACGTGGTTCAAGGCGTGTAGGCAATAGACATGCCGCACCTCTTCCCCATTTTTTAAAGCAGTCCTTCCTGGGTAAAACAGATCCTTGTATGAATTCATAACACAGAAGAGCTCTTGCTGTAATGGACTAAACAGCTGGTCTTTAAATTTTGTCTGAGCAGAAAGAAACCATCCGTTCACTTTTGGCCACGTCGACTCTAATGGCTTGCAAAGATTAAGATGTTTCAGATCGACTTCTTTGCTTGGCTTAATCATTCCAAACTTCTCCAATTTGGAAGAAAAAAGTAATTGACCCAGCACTGGCCACTGACAGAAAAAAAGAAACAAATAAAGCAGCTTTCAACAGAACTCCAATTTAGCCTCTCCCAGATCTTGTCAGTATCTTAAAATGAAACCCTGAGTTGTGCATACACACCTACACTAACCTATTCAGGGTATCCACAGGGTATCCTCAAGGATGTCAAGATGGCATCCACAACCATGCAACCAAAGCCCTGCAACACATATAAAAAGGATGGGGCTTTGATCGCAAAGTTGTGACATCTATCTTGACGTTTTTGAGCTCCACCCTGCAGACACTCTTGAACCTGTTCTTCACCCTGTAGCCTCCTGTATGCCCCAAGATAAGGAGTGCACAATCTGAGCCCCAAGGCTGCAAGAGGTATTCAAAATAAGATGGACATTCACAAATACATGAGCAATAATCATATCAGTTGTATTTAATACATTTTCCTCCATCCTGTCCCACCTACTTTTCTGGAACCCAGACTCCAGTAGCCCACTCAAAAAGCAAGAACAGCTTCCTCCCCAGATTTTGAGAGGGCTTGAGGATACATTACCTCAACTTGGCTAGTCAATTTTGAGCACACAACATTTTCATCTATTTCTTTTTCTTCCAGCTCTTCATCCATGTGGCACTTAAATGGATCTGTGTCAAGAAATAAACATATCTTTCTGACTGACTGTTTCAGAACCTGGAATTAAGATTTAGTTTGCAAGCACTCAAAAGAAGGTGGCAAGTGAAAAAGATGATTAGAAGTCTGCCAGTTATTCCAAACTATCTAATAGAAGAGAATATATGTAACTCAGGGTTGAACTGTGGAGTTACCAAGGAGAAAACGACACCCTCACCAAAACTGGCAGGGCAAGCAACTGTATACAAACAGGGAGCAAATCCCACACTCACACTGATGATGCTACCTAGCTACCCAAAATGAAACATCTGCAAGCAAACAACCAAGCTCAGAGAATACCAAGGACTCCACATTCCAAACTATCATAGAACAATATGCTATTTCTATATCAGAGGTGATAGTGGCATGATTACAGTGACAATAATCTTGCAGATCTACAGAAAGACTTACCAAAGCAAATATCCCTCATTTGATGAGACTGAAATCCAACCTTCTTTATGTATATTGTTCTCTTACTGCTAGAATATTTTTTCATTACTGAAACTGCAATAAATTGACTGTAATTCTAACATCATAACTAACTCCTCTTCCATACTTAGCATAAGAACTGAACTGAATAGCATAATGCAAAAAAATAAGATAGTGCAAAAACAAAAACAAAAAACCCCAAACAAACTGAATAGCATGTCTATCTCCTCTTCCATACTTAGAGTAAGAACTGAACTGAATCTAGTGCTTAGACTATAGTGGTTTGACTACAGTTCCCATTATTCTGAGTCAGCATTCCCATTGCCTGGGAAATATGGTTCAGCACATCAGGCTAAGGAAGACTGTTGAAGTCTTAGCCTCTTACACAAATAAGCTGCCAGAGTCATCAGCTACTGGAGTGACTTGTAAGTAAGCAAGAAAACAAACAAACAAGTAAGCAAACAATAATATTTGCACAATTACAAAGGCCATCAATTTTGGCCTTTATAGAAATGACTGTTTTAAATAGCTTTTAATTTAGATTATTTTACCAGTAACACTGCTGGCTTACTGCCTTTTAAATTGCTACTGCGGAGTTTTTAAAATGCATAGACAGTGAAATTGTATATTGATTTCACTATATGAGTGCAATGCCAAATACAATAAAGAGTACTGGGAGGGGTATGCAGGATGTGGAGGCACCCAATACAGGAAGGAATCAGTCAAGTCACATGACCCAAGAATTCTTGTGTCTCTGTATAAGTATGCAAAGCATGGGAAAGAAACAAAGCCCTAAAAGTCTTAATGCAGGAACATGAATATTTTTTAGGAGGCACAACTGAAATCTGGTGAGATGAAACTCATGAGTGGAATACAAGAATTAGAGCATATATTTCAAAGGAACAGGCCAGATAAACCAGGAGGAGGAATAGCATTATATGATAAGGAAGCGCATACAAAGATCCAGAAATCTAAGTATGAGGATCAGGTTAAGAACACTGGGTAAGAATATAAGAAAGGAGAAAGAATACGGGTATTATTCTGGGGCTGTGCTATAGACTCCCAAGCCAGGCAGAAGTTGTGAATAATGCTCTCTTGACTTTCAGGGAGGAGAGACATAGTAATACTTCAACAACCTGGACACCAATTGGAAAACCAATTCAGCCAAACTGCAGTGTCTCAAAAATTCCTTAGTGTTGTTGCTGACTGTTTCATTTTCCAGATGGCTGAAGAAAAGATAGAAGGATTGGCTTTCTTAGATCTGATCCTAACCAAAAAGATTAGAGCTAGGAAGAGGTTAAAGCAGTGAGAACTTTGGGAGGAAATGACTATATCTTCTTGGAATTCAGGATACTACAGAAAGAGAAACCAGAGCATAGTCATACATATACTGTACACTAGATTTCAGGAAAGCCTATTTCAAGGAACTTAGAAAAGTATTGTAGGTGGGATCCCTTGGACAGAAATCCTTAGATCAAATGGAACACAAGAGAATTCAGAATTTCTCAAAAATAAAGATACTGAACTACAATTACACACCATTCCAAAAAGGAAAACAAACAAACAAACAAACAGGAGGCAGTTTAGGAAACCCTTGTGGTTGTATAGGAGGCTTTCAACTGAGCTAAGAGTTAAAAGGGATATGTATAGGAAACAAGATGGGGATAATCATCAAGTAGCTTACTCAATAAATGGCTAATATCTGCAGAGAGATTGTTAGAAAGACTAACATACAAAGGGAACTTAGGCTCACAAGTAAAGCTAAAAGCAACAAAAAGGGCTTTATTGGCTATGTCAGTAGTAAAAAAAAGGAAGAGGTGGACCCACTGCTATAAGATGTGTCAGAGAGAGGGCAAAGCTCAACTCCTACTTCTGTCTTCTCCCCAGAGGGGAATAGTATTAAAATAGAAATAAGCAGAAGAACTGTCAAAAGTGGTAATCCAAGGTAAATAGATTGTTTGGGGCTGTCTGGCTCCTATGAACAAGTTTTAGTCTCCAGGACCAAACCACTTAGTTAGTAAATGTTTAAACCCCAAGAGACAAATTGCAGAATCCTGTTTTAAGAGATACACAAGTAAATTTACAGATGGTCCTTCTTCCTGTTAAATGTTTTTTTCAAATCAAAGACAACTATGGCATTACCATTTGTTACTTTTGCAGAAGGAGTTCTTTTTTTTGGATCTGTACTGGGATCACCACATTCTTCATCTATGAAATTCGTTTCCAGACTAAACTCAGATTCAAGTTGGACATCTGTACATTCTCCAGCAGCTTCACACTGTAAATCACGAGGCGCAGCCGAACCTCCAGGCTCCTCTTGGCTATTTTCCACCAGGGATGCTTCTTTATTTGGGACAAACAAAAAAAAAAAGAAAAACAGGTTGCATTTGTGCAAGAGCCAATGTCCATGGGTGGTTTGAGATCAGCAACTTTAGGTTCCTCTTAGAAAGAAAGTGTAAACTTCTACTTTATCTTAAGTTACTAGTTGGGAGCTAACTGCAATCCATTATTATAAAAGCGATCATTCTTAGACTCTTTTCCTCTAAGAAATTATCTCCCTCCTTGTTTTTTGCCTTCTTCCTTTTAGATCAATATTCCTCAATGGAGCTATGCGAATGAGTTGGACTACATCTCCTAGCATTCCAGGCATTGTAAGTATTTCCTTTATAGACTCTGAGTAATAAGAATTGTCTTACTGTCTACAAAGCACCAGGCTGCACAGATCTTCTACAGATTAACTCGGGTTACCAGACCTGGGCTGCAAAAGTCCAGCTAATCACTGCATGAGGTGAAAGAGTTAAAGTTTTCTGTATGCCTTAGCTGCCATCTAATGGATTTTGAAGCCCTAGCAACTAGAACTAAACAGTGGTTGAAGCTATTTTATTATTACTATGTAGGGCTATCAGATGATCATTAGATGGGAGCAAAGAAATATTTTTCTCTACTTTATGTATATTAGAGCAATAAAAAACTCTATCTTTCTGTCATCCAATGGTCATCCAGATTTTTGTACCCAAGATCTGGTAGCCTTATTATTAGATTACCTCCTAGATAATTTATCCAGTTTCTCCCTTTTAAGATATTTTAGTGATAGGCCCAGATATTAAAGAACAAACCCTACTGAAAATAGTGGGATTTATTTATGTATAAATACACAATATATTGCAGTGTTTGTCTTAAAATAGTACTTCCAATATTCAATCCTCCAATTGGGTTACTGATAGGAAGAAGCCAGCTCTTGTCTGCCTCTTGGAATTTCTTGGGAATAACTGCCTCCTATTATTGAAATGAAGGAAAATGTCCGTTGTCAGATTAAATAAAGTTGATTTATTTTGAAAAAATAAAATAATGACAAAATAATTAGAAAGATAGGATATTTTACTGCTCCCTATTTCATGGGCATATTTCATTTCATGCAGCTGCAAGCTGCAAGCAAACCCAGAATTTTCCTGCTTTAGGAAGCTTCTTGCTCCTGTTCCAGGAGAAAAATATTTCATTTTCCTCCTGGAACACATTGATCTGCCCACTCTGGGATGGATGATCTCTTTACATCTTTTGAAACAGAAAGTGTTCTTATACATCCATTTAGAAACCCTTAAAAACCACCTTATGAAACAAAACAAAACAGAACAGAACTACCTGATTCTGGGTGAGGCACTTTTATTTCATTGTCTTCATCCTCCATTTCTTTCTCATCCTCAAGTTCATCACTGTCCACTTCTGTATCTTCTTGGGAACTACCTTCTGATTCATCTTCTTCCTCCTCATTATCTGAACAGACAGATGTTTTTAATGTGGCCAGTAGTTTGTGATACACTGGGATGTGTTCTGAATCACTCTCTGCATCATTTTCTGAGCTGGACTGCTCAGAATTTTCATTCTAATAATGGAAATGGAAAACTATTCTAGTACATACACCAATCAGGACAAACACAAGACATTCTATGCAGGTTCACAGTATTAGTAGCCTATGCCAGAGATGAATAACCTGTGGTCTTCCAGATATTGATGAATTTCAGCTTTCAGCAGCCACAGTTGCCATGGCCAATTAGGAAAGATGCTGGGAAGCTATCTCTGGCCTTTGCCAAGCAATTTCACAAAATTCTCTAGCAGAGAGAATTTGCTGGTCAGTTATGCAAAATCCTTTTTGATTAACCATGATAATATTGAACCTAGACCATTCTGTACAAAGATCAGCTTTCGCCAACCCGGTGCCCTCAGATCTATTGGTCATTCCTGTAATCCCCAGCCAATATGAGAATAATGGAGTTGTTCTCCAACACAGTTAAGAAGGCACCTAGACCACAGGCAAATCTATTTTAAACTGTTATTTTAAATTGTCACAGGCAACCCCTATAGTTAATAATTCAGACCGCTTTTCTGCTGATACAAGAATAGTTACCTCCATTTATTTAGTAAAAGTTATTTTCTGTGACATTAAAAATACAATCTGATGGCAAATTTTGCATGAGTTTTGGGGGCCACCAAAGCTCCAAAGCTTTTGGAGACATGTAGTCCTGAAGCCCCAGGAAGTGCACCCCTGTTTATAGCAAGCATTGCTGAGGGTGGTGTGGAAACGTCCCTTGAAATATGCTGGATTATCAGTACAGTAAAAATACAAAACTTTAAAGCAGTTTACAAATGCAAAAAAAAAAATGATTTTGCCATCAGGCATGGAGGGAGAAAAAGCAAAGAAAGCAATGGGAACCTTTTACTTTATTAATTGCAAATCTGTTCTACAGAATGAGACAAATAGTGTGCATTATACGTTTCCTATTAATTTTATATCACTAGTAATACTATAAAACAGGAAAATATGATAAAAGATAGCAATATTCTTACCAGTTCACAATTCTGAGTTGGTTTTTCTTTCCCAGAAACCCTGAAAAGAAATAATTTAAACCATTTCCACTTCACTATTTGATAAACATGAAAATATCACAGACCGTAATAACTGAAATAACAAAAAGAGTGCATGTCAGTAGAAGAGAAAAAGCCTTCAGCTCTTTGAATCGGTCCGAGCCTTAACCCAGAAGGGCAATAAGCAACGAGCAACTAATTAGGCTAACGTGCGACAGGCACCTACCTGAACTAAGCCATTCGTGGGGCCACAACCGGCAGAGACTTCCGGTTTCCGTGAGTTGCAGGAATATAAACACAAGAGGGAAGCAAGCGCCATTTAAGCCACAGACAAGAAGACAGAGAAGGGGGTTCTGCTCGTCCACGCGGGACGCTCAACGCCCTGCTGCTCGGAAGATGGGACCGAGCCCTGCCCGCTCCGTTGACAGAGAAGGACGCGGGCGGAAGGCAGGCGACGTCTCTCTCCGGGCACAAAGGAGGACTCGAGGAGTTGCTGCAGTGGGCGCCCTCAGCAAACCTCAGCTCTCAGGCTATTTTACAGCCCCGCTTACCGATCATAAAAAGGGTGCTCCTCCCCAAAATCCTTGAGATGCTTCTTTTGCTTCTTGCTTAAGCGGCTGATCAGCTGCTGGCGCTGCTGGCGAGCTTTCCTCTTCCCCATCTCGGCAAACTCCGGTTCCCACGTGGCTCCCTTTGCCGAGCCTTTTACGGCCCCAGCCGCGCGGCGTCCCGTCCTCTTGCGACAGACTCCTTCCGAGGCTCGGCTACCGCAGCGACTTTAAGATGCGTGGACTTCAACTCCCAGAATTCCCCAGCCAGAACTAATATGGCTCTCCTACAATTGCGGCAGTGGGCGGAGCTTTATTGGGGTCTTTCTTCTCCAGGAATGGGGTTTTCTTTTCGTAATGCTGTGATGTTTACTTAACCCTCTATAACATTCTTCTTAAAAGCCTGCGCTGCATGTCTAAGCACTTTTTAGACTGACGCTTCCTGCACAAAACACACCTGTAATATGCATATACATCTGTATATATCGGCCAGGCAGCTTCGCGAGCCTCCTCGGAAATGAAGTCCGTTAGTTTATCAATATCAATTATCAATACGCTACCAAAGAGCTACGTTTATAGCATTTTCCTAAGTGCAATCAAGGAGGGAACTACTGTGGTCTGATAGAAGAGAATGTGTGCAGCTCAGGGTTGAACGGTGGAGTCCTTGGTGTTTTTTCAGCTTGGTTGTTTTCTTGCAGACATTTCGGTATCCGACTAGGTAACAAACCGTCTGCCAGAAAACAGTCAAGCTCAGAGAACACCAAGGACTCCACTGTAGTCTGATTTCTACCGGAAGAATGTTCCCGAAGTTTCATCACCCTTACTTCCTGGATGCGGAGTACAAGTTGTTTTTCCTGGGATGCACCTAGAGGCTTTGTAGAGCAAAACCAACTGAGTGGAAGCCAGTGCAGGGCCCAAAGCACACCTCAACAACTGATGCCAGTTGACCCAGGGCTTGCTGCATTCTGGACCAATTTTAGCTTCTGTGTGGTATTTAAAGGCAGCCCCATTTAGAGCACATCACAAAAACTGGGTGGTAATGAGGGCATGAGTTGCTAGATCGTCTTGCATTTGGTGCTAGGTCATAACTGGTGCACCAGTCAAAGCTGGGCAAAGCCCCCCACCCCCCGCTGGCCACAGATTCCACTTGCTGCTCTAAGTAAGAGCTGTGAGTCCAGAAGGAGCCCCAAGTTGTATATCTTCTCCTTTGGGTGTATTGCCTCCCCATTAAGAGACAACACAGAGAACCTTGATGGACAAGCAGCACCTCCATCTTGCTTGGCTTCAACTTCAACCTGTTCCATCCCATCCAGACTCTCGACAGCCTCCAAGTACTGGGATAAAGCATCAACAGTATTTCCAGTCCAGTGGTCAAAAGATGATACCAGAGTAGTACAAATGGGTACAAATATGTTATCTGAAAATTCTGACACTGTATGCTAGATGAAGATTATTTATTAATTTACTTAATAATTAGTTGAATTTAGATCTCAGAGAAATCTATCAGCCTTCTATCATGGCTACTCTAAACGTGCTTTTAAGCTTGCCTTTTAATTAATACCACTTAAAATAACTTCAGAATAATAAAATACAATAAAATTAATAAGACATACAGAAACAGTAGATAAAGTATTCAGAATAACATACCTGGAAACTAAGCAGCAGCTCAAATAGGTACTTGTATAAAAACCCCAATTTTTTTGGCTTTTGACCACTGAGTACAGAGGTTTGATGAATATAGCCACAGCTACAGAAAGTAGATATGGGTATTCCTTTTAGCAGAACTTAAAGAAATGACTCAACATATCAAACATGTCATATGTGACATCTCTACACACTCATGTTTAAACAAGGTTATTCAAATTATAAATTTTGTCAAAAGAGTATTGTAACTGTTGATTTTCTATCAGTACTGGGTTTTTACTGGCCAGAATAATGAACATAGCATTTGGGCTCTAAGTAACCCCATAAAGATGTTTCTTTGATGGGGATATTCTACTGAATGCCTTTTGTGACTGACCTATTACTGTTGTGGCAACAAACTGTTTCAAATTTAAATCTGCATGTGCCTCTTCCTCAGAATTATTATAATCACTACTCCTTGATTGCAAACTCCTAAAATTTTAAAAAGTAGTTTTTAATTTTCCAGTAGCTGCTTTTAACTTTTCGAATTGAAATCTTCCAGAGCTTAAAAGAATCCTTACAGCTGTGACTAAAAATGTCTCTTATTGCTGAAAACATGTGGCCCTTATACTGGTCCCCTTACATGCAAACATGCCACAAAAATTAAGCTACAATGATTGTCGTTTACCCACTTGAAGGAAGCTAGGGCTGAACTGGGAGCAGTTGTCTCTTTTAACAGTGTTTTGTCATACCTTAACAGACCATTTTTATATGTGAGTTTTTATGTTAAAAATAGCTATGCAAAGGTAACAAATGACTAATGTATCTAAACAAGCACATTTCTTCTATTAGGCAAAATCACTTCATTATTTCCAATATCTGCTACTTAGATTCTTCTGGCATCTTACAGAGAATGAAGGGAAGTGGCAGTTTAGGGGCGCAGGGAAGTTAGTACAAACACGGTTGCTGCTTAGCTGCATTAATGCTATTCAAAACAGGACTTGTAAAGATTGCCACCACAGTTAGACATCTGCAGGAGGGGGCAAAAGGGGGAAAGAGTCTAAATGGGCATCACTGACTCTGCCCCTTATATACTTGCATGAAATGCTGAGATGCAAATATGAAAGGGCACAGCTTGCACTGTAACATCAAAAGCACATTTTGACATCACTGTGGTTAGGAAGAGAGATACCTGTGCCATCACGCACACTATACAAACACTTCCATCTTCGGTTTCCTAACAGCATAAGTGAATCCTATAATTGAAAATACTCTTAACATGTTTTCAAAAATGTTACATAAAAATATTTAAATGTTTAGTAGAGTTAGTGATAGAATATTACAAGTTTGACGGTTCTCTCCCAGGAGGGTCCATATAGGAAACAACTGAAGCAAATCAACATTTCAAATAATGAATGATGATAAATAATTTGGTATAACATTTGTTTTATTAATATATAAGGATGCTATCATTTTCAACATCTTCAAGCAAATTACGGTGCAGATGAAATGTCCATTAATATAGGGTTTTTTCCCCCTTAATCGCTTCTGAACTGGTAATCTTTCCTTGTAAAGTTCCAGATATGCTCCTTTTGGTCAAGAAATAAGTTTCCCTGTAACTACCCTGATACAGGGCTATTTCAAAATCAGTGTAGATTTCATAAAACAATAGTATTTCATGTCTATTTCCTAATTAACCCATAGGGAAATGAAAAAAAAAAAAGAGTCCAGGTATTTATGATGTAATTGTTGTTTCTTCTGCTGGAGGCAATACATCCCAGACAGGTGTCTGAATATGATCAGGAAGCTTCTCTAATTTGGTCTAAAAACAATGGAAAACATATAGATACATGTTGGAATAGTTCATAGGTTCTCTAGTTAAATTCCATAGGTATTTTTTCTAAAATCCAATAATGTGAAGGAGATAGCAAAAGACATCTGCCACTTAGTAGCTGTCTGATTAATATTAATATTAACTTTAGCGATCAATATATCTTTATATTAGACAATGGGTATGCATGAAACAAGGGAATGTTTTGTTTCCAAGCCCAAAGCAAAGCATTGTGTTCTGGAAGTTGGTGTGCACTGCCCCCTCACGCCCCCCCCCCCAGCCTCCACTACAGCTCCTCGCTTGGTATAGCCCATCAGTCTCCCAGTCTCCCCACTTCTTTCCTCCTCCCCTTGGCTGCTTCTGCTGTTGTCTCCCAGCTGCACCCGGCCGCTCTCCCGTCCCCTGCCGCTTCTCAGCTGCTGACAATCTTGTGTTCCCCACCACCACCACCATTTTTGCCTGAAACGAGATAGCTCTGTTTTATGGTGTGCATGAAGCAAAACATTCAGAACAGGCATCTTTGGGTTCAAGGACAGGGCACTTCAAAATAGCTGTTCCATGCATGGAAGAATTTGTGCATGGAACATTTTGAACATCTCCATTAACAGAACAAAACCAGCAATACCTTTTTGACTTCCATGGCAACCCCTTCTGGTAGATTTCGCTGAATGTATTCCAAGTAAACATTGGCTGTGCTACCAGTTAAATGCTTTAACTGAAACAGAAAGCACTGTTATACTTTTCAGATAACAATAATCTGGGAAAAAAATCTGCACTGTACAGCATTTAGCAATTGTAAATAGTATCTGACTAAGAGATTTCCCCTGACTTGATTCATCCTGTATTTCCTTCACGTTTACTCAAATCCAGAGTAGCAAAATATTAATAATCTGGATATGGCTCTCACTACCTGTCACAAGTTGACAAATGTGTAAGTATATGCACATGTTGAGAGCAGGTACAACACTCTTCTCCAAAACACTTTTTTCTGTGTGTTCTCTGTACCCATTACTTTTTATTTGAACATGCAGCTTTTTACTTACCTCTATATATTGGTAATGTGTTCTCATTTCATATTGAACTCTGTGCTTCTTATAAATGTGCACTGACTTCAGAAGCGTGAATCTTTCTATCTTTCTAGGAGGCTTTTCTCTAAGAAATATAACATATTTTAATCATGTGGACATATCCTTTTATTTCTGAAATTACAGCCAACAATACAAATAATAGCAACTATTTAGAAAGTTAGAAAAAGAAAAAAGGATAAACTAAACTGAGCCTTCATTTGGATGGGATTTCTGGTTTCTTGATCAGGCTGTGCGGCTGTTAAATTAGGTCATTTCAGATCTAGTTTATCTAAACATTTTGAAGTACAGATCTTGGAAGTAGGCAAGAGACAATGCATATAAATGAAAGGAAGAAACTTCAAATAATGTTAAAATACCTGGGCTTACAGCCATCTATTCTATTACATATAAAATCCTATTAAATTTAATTCAAATGTGAAGAATGAAAGGTGATTTTCTTCAAAGTTTACTTTGAAACTATTATTCAAACAGGTTAGATAACAACAAGAGTTATTTTTTCTTTTAGCCCATAAGCCTGTAATAAGCGTACACATAGCTTAATAGCCCTAAGACTCTTTCCAAGACTCACTCTTCCTAAGACTTATAGAGTTCAAATTACTTCTACAATAGCATTGGTTCATCATCATCATATTTATTTCGGTCATTGACCAATAAAAATAGATACAATAAAACAGACAACAATATTAC